ATGTTGAAGGTCTAACTCCTAATATGCCTGACTGTACTTGGAAATTGGCCCTTTGAAGAGGTAATGAAGGTTAAATGGGGTCATAAGGATAGGGCCCCAATCCAACAGAAAGTGCCGTCTACAAGACAAAGACAGAGGCCTCAGGATAAACCAAACCTGAGGTTTCTAACACCTAGACTTTGGAAAGCAAATTGCTGTTGTTTAAGCCACTATGTCTGTTGTATGTTTTTATGGCATCCGTAGCTGACTAACTCATGGCGGAAGGAGTGTCACATCTAATTTGGGATCTCTGCTCTGAGGGTGGCTGTCATCTCCTGGTAGGCACAGCAGATGGCAGTGGTGCCCTGTGAGTCTGCACAACCCTCTGGCCTGCCAAGCTGTGGCTCCGGCTTAGATAACTAAAGGGTTAGAGATGTAAACTTCGAGGTCCAGATTTTTTTTCAATGGAAAAAAAACAAAAACCCTTGCAATATAGTGTCTACTATGATCTAAATGTTAGTGTCCCTCCCCAATTCGTATTTTGAAACATAATCACCAACATAATGGTGTTAGGAGGTAGGGCCTGTAGGAAGTGGTTATGTCACGACAGTGGAGCCCTCAGAAATGGGATTATTAACCTTTTAAAAGAGGCCCCAGAGGGCTGCCTTGCCCCTTTTCACATGTGAGGTTACAGCAAGAAGGTATCACCTATGAGCAAGGAAACCAGCCCTCACTAGAAGCCATATCTTCTGGTGCCTTGATGGACTTTCCAGCCTGTAAACTGTGAGAAATAAATTTCTGTCATTTATAAGACACCCTACTTATAATATTTTGCTATAGTACCCCAAGGGAACTAAAACAGTATCTCTACAAATATTAATCAAACTGGACTCTAGAAGAGTAATGAGATACTGCTTAAAAGGATACATAAGGGAAAAAATTCTCAGGTGTTTGATGTTCATGAGCCTCTCTGTTTCAATGACGATTTACTGCTATTTCATTGCGTGTAGGCTCGAGTCTTTGCGCATTGAGCTCAAACCCTCTCCATTGCTTCCTGGAGGTTTCTACCTCTTTCCTCTGAAGTTTCCTGGATACACCTGTTGCTGTGAGGCTGAGGTATCAGAACTGAGCACATAACTGATTAGCTTCATGTCGACTTCAAGAATATTTTATCCAGTTGCCATCATTGGGCCCTTATCTCCACAGTCGTTCTAAGCACTAGCTACCGAACCAAAGCTGTCCTCTGTTCCTTATAAGGCTCTTAATGGAAACTTAACCAATTTGGCAAGCAGGTAGCTAGCACCTACTCCTGACACTATGCTTCATTGCGAATAATGATGCGTTATTGCAAATCCACAGTGGGTAAAAATAGGCACATAGGGACCCTCTCAGTGTTTGCATGTACATTAAACCCCTCCCAAGTTTCAGGGTTTGTTTGAGAGTGGTTTTATTTTAACCTTTCACCAAACTTTTTAAGGATCGGGATAATTTTTATAATATAATTACCAAAATTACACAGAAAAGTCAAACCTAGTTTACTCGATGGATTGGAAGTCATATGTCCAGGCAGTGTCTGAGGATGGACATCAGGCAAGTGATCATATATGGAGAATATCAATCCAAAGCACTGTAACCAAAAGATACTCATAACTGTCTAGGTGTGAATGACTACAAGTAAATGAACCTAACCGAAAGTCACCGAAGACCACTGGACAGAGAGCCAGTCCAAATGAGCATGTCCTCCCACCTGTTTACTAGTCCCATGAACATCTGAGATAAGCGTCAGTCTACTTGTATATAAAAATTTAAAAAAGAGTTCATATTTTGCCCACTGAGCAATAAGACTAACATGATAAAACTTGTCTTTGAGAAGTCTACTTGTGTTTTGGATTAATAAAGGCAGATGTGGTGTTGTGGTCAAGATACACATAAAGACATATATGTTATTTTTTGGAGTCTTTTGGGGGAAAAAGCTTATTAGATGCTTGAGAGATAACTTGATCTTCCAACAGATATTGGTGACTTTGAATCTCCTTGAATTTACATCGCTTTGGCCAAAACTTGGTTTAGCGCAGAATTCCCTTAGAAGAATTCTCCGGAATATTAAGTGCTTTTTTATAGAGGCGGCCGGCGGCGGGGAGTGGGGTTGGTGCAAAACAGGAGTCCTGTGTTCAAATATTTTGGGAGACTTTCATTAATAATACTTTTAATTTCTATAAATTGATGCTTTAACATCTACAAAATGACCACTAGCTGTTTCCAAGTAAGCCCTGACTCACCTCCAAAAAACATATGGAGACTTTAGATAGCCCTAAACCTATGCGTTAACAGTCACAGTGGACATGAATTTCATGAGGCACCACTTTGTAACACAGTTAACCTGTCCTAATAAACCTTCCTACCTTGCCTCATCCATTTCTTCTTGTAGGACTCGAACTAAAGGTTCCGCTCTCTCTCTGCCTCCTGACTGACCCCACTCCTGCCACTGTGGGGCATATGGTATTCTCCCGGGGGAACTGTGGGTGTAATCAAGCCGTAGAACTCTTTCTGGTTCTTCTCTTTGATCTGTGTCTGGCCTCAAGGTAATATAGTTAAAACAAAACTGTGGGTTAGAAAAAAAAAATGGACATACTTCTTTCTGGCAGTACTCTTAGAAATGTTAATATATAAACGTGCATTCTAAATTTTCAGTGTCAACCTTACTTGGCTTTGGAATTTTTTTTTTTTTTTTTTTTTTTTTTTTTTTGAGCAGTATGTCTTGTGGAACTAGCATTTCTGAGATCTCCTTTGAGAGGTGCTATTCTGCCGAAATGCTGATTATGCATGTAGGAGACATGGTATGTCAGTAAGTATTGTCTGAAGATAAAAATGCACTGGTATCGTTGTGAAATGAAATCAAACAACATAGCCCAGAGAAAGCCCAACTTCCATATGAAAATTAACTGGGGACTTCCCCTCCATCAGGGATTTGGCACACAGACACTGAATGGTAATATCTCAACGAACTTACATAGTGTATGTGGTCCACGCATTTTAAAATCCATATATATTTTGCCCTTTCTAATCTTTGAATAAATCTTTTCTGTATAAGGCAAGTGCTTACTGGATGTCTTCTCTTATATAGGTGCTAGGCACTTCAAACTCAACCTGTGCAAACTGAACTAGTGATCTTATTCCCACTTTTCCTCCCAAGTGGCAATTCCATCTACCCATTCACTTGCATCAGACACCCAGGAATCTAACAGTCTCCTCCTTTTCCCTTATCACAGTACCCACCACTGCCCACTAATCATGTCATTTTGGCATGTCTCATGGCACACCTATCCCCTCTATCTCCAATACCGATCCTTGTCCAGATTCACATTATCTCATGTCTCACTTTCATGGTGTCTTAACTAGTTCTCTTCCCTAATCTTTCCCCCTCTTGAGTCTCTTCTTTATAATGATGCTAATGTATTTTTTCTAAAGAACGTTTTTGATTGTGTTATTCTCTTTTTATAAACTATCTGCCCTTTGATCTGTGATTGTATTATATAGAGCTCAAACTCCTTAATCTTTCATACCCACTTTTCTACTATCTCATTCATACATGTTTTTCCAATTTTCTCCAGCTGTCTACCTGTAGCACAGGAAACAAATTCAGTCACATTAATCTGGCCGTGATGTGCTTTTTCACCTTTTGCCTGGGACCACCCCTCGCTTCCATACCGGCAACACAGTAAAGATCTATTCATCTTTTGAGATCAAGCTCAAAAGTGTTCTCTATGACCCTTCTCCAGATCTCTTTCTTCTCTTTACCCACAGCATGCACTACAGAGTTTCATACTTGTTTGCTCATATGTTTGTTTTACCTACTAGTTGGCAAGTTCCTAGAGGTAAAATATTATGTGTGAATCATCCTAAAATCTCCAAAGGCTCACATAGCACTTAAAACACTAAGGAATATTTTATAAATGCTTATTTAGTGAAAGGACCATTTTTCCTTTTATATATGAAATAAATTATAAACTATATACTTCTGATTTTATATCATGTATGAGTATGATTGAAAAGTGCCTCTTCTAAATTAATCACTTGATATTGCCTCTTCCTTTCTAGTATAATTGGAAAGGGAAGAAGAAACATATATTTATCTTTGGATGTTTTCCTCAAATCATCATATTCTCACCTTCCTCTTTCCTTACTGTTTCAAACACCCAATATTATAAATATTTTTTGAAACCAAGAAAAATGATTCCCAATTCTGATTTTTCCTCTGAGTAAATGTAACTACATGGGCAATTATCCATTATAGTACCCACAGAGAATAGAAGTACTTTCCCCAGTTCTCCTATTTTAGATCCTTAGGGGCAGGGATGGAATAAAACCTTCTACCCTCCATGTTTTGGAGAGCAGACAATGACAGAGCCCTGGGAGGATTGTAAGAGTGTACTGTGATCTAAACTCTGGATCAAGCAATACGTCTCAATGTTGAGCCTTTGACATAGTTAGAGTTCTAGTCATTTGTATCAAATAGTAGGAACGAAAAGGACAGATGGACATTTTGATTTCCTAAAGACAATTCTCTGAATTAATCTGAAGTCAGTTTCCATAAGAATCTTAGCAACTACTACAAATTGTTGATTTTGGGGATTTGTAGTCTTGGGTGAAACTGGTTAGTTATCAATACCTAACAAAGGGATCATAAAAAGAGAACGGTCAAGTTAGCCACATTTTAAAATCATTTCCATCTCCAATCTCCCTTCTCTGTTCCCTACTAGAATTTTTTATAAGAGGAAAGGATTTTTAAAAGCCCTTCAAAGAAAAGAAAGAAGTTATGTTTTCAAAATGGGTGCTTCTCCATTCTTCACTTTGCTGGATACTGTTATGATAAACACTTTGGTCTGATGGGCACAAAAGGCTTATTCTCCATTCTAATGCTGTGTTGTGGGATCTTGTCTGAGGAATAGGAAGGCTAGGTAGGAGACAGTAAAGAAGATGCTTTGAATTTGAAAGAAACAGAATAGAGCTTTAATACTTACAGCTGTCCTCTTCTTCAGTTATACATTTCACAACATAACAGGCGTAGATGAAACCTGCCAGCTGAAACAAAACAGAGATGCTTTAGACATCAGACAAAGGCACCAAAACCAGACCTCACTGGGGAGTGACTTTTCAAAGTTAGGCAGTTTACAACCAGACTTAGGGCTCCAACATGGCTCATTGGACTGGATCTTGACTCCAGTGTGGACTCCTGATTCAAATGATGCTCATCTGTGTTGTAAATAAACATATCACTCTGTTTTTCTCCAACCTGTGTTTACGTGTAAGATTTGTTAATTGCCAAGCAATCTAAAACAAATTATTTTCAGTACAGAAAAAGACTTATGACGATTCACTAGTGGATTAACATTTGCATTTGTGCCAATCAACTTTTAGTTTACTTTTCATTAGCTCAGTACCTAAGATTCTAAAACATGGACTCTCACAGACCATCAGAAAAATGCTTTGAGGGAAAAACATTAAGGTGATTCTGTGGTTTGTTGCATGGGCTCTTTGTAAGTAAGGAAGACTCAGATCTGTAACAGGAACCAGAGCATACTGAGTATGATTAAGACAATATGCTACAGAGAAGTGATGAGATGGACACCTATAAGTAGGGAGTATCATCAAAATGCATTGAATATGGCATTACACACATCACATTCTCTTTTCTGAAACACTACAAAAAGGTCTGTGTGCTTGTAAAGGAGCACAACAAAGTCATTTGATCTCTCTATTTTTTCAGATTGGGTGTTTTTGTATTCCTTCCTACTAGTACAATATTTATTTAGTCAATTTATGAACACTAATCAAAAGAAACAAATATAATTTCTGGATAAGTAGAAGACTATTTGTTTTCTTTTTTTGCAAATTGATCTAGTTTGGAGGAATCCTTAAAGGTATGTCCTTAAAACAGTGATGAAGATTATTCACAACAACGTTTCAGACAGACATTGATCTGGCTGAGGACCGACCCCACACAATAATATTTAGTGTGGGGAAGAAAACATTAGGAAAAGCTGCAGTCTTCAATCAGGAAGTGAAAGCACGGGAAAAAAAGGAACTACCGCGACAAGCCTAATGAAGTTGTTTTTCATTAGGTGACAGATAGTGATCTTCTGGAGGATGTGAGGGGAACATCTTAAGTCAAAGGCTACACTAATAGGTATTTAATGAGCGCAGAACTATTAGGAGACAAAGCGGTCTCTGGTGAAAAGAAACTTTCAAGTCCCTAATTTGGACTTGAGAGAGAAAGCACATTCTGGCAGATTCTAGTTATCTTCCAAAAAGAACTGGCATAGGATAAAACAGCGGTCATTCCTGGACAATAGAGGAAGCAGCAGTGACCACATTTGGGGAGGCAGAGTTGAAGGAAAAAGACTTATGTAACACTTCATACACTTTTGTTTTTAGATCCTGGAGGAGAGGGAATGGATACTCTCGGCCCTCTCTACCCCCAACTGTAGTATCTGCACCAGTATACATCATAGAGAGTCAAAAATAAATACCACTGATGCTATATCAGAAGACTGAGTTTTCTTTTTAAGAAATATTTTAGAAAACTCATCAAATCAGCATGTTTCTCTTTGAATTATATGTTGCTATTGGCAATAAGATAGTGATAGTAAGAACCACTTCTTTATATAATAGAATCATCAAGGTCTTTGTTTTTATGGGAGTTATTTTTAAAGTTCAGAGTACTAATTAAAAACCAATGTCTCCTATTTGGCTTTAGCAACGATTTTGATTTATCCAAACTCAAATCACATAGTGATTTGAGGATTTCATGAGTACTGGAAAAATAGAGACTATACTAACACATCTTGATCTTTCATCCAACAGGACCCATGAAAATGCTCTTTTTATGGAGTGAGCCAGTCCCATGGGTGCTTGACATTGGTACTTGGATCTGGCTGTGTCTAAGTAAAGAGCCTATGGGTGTGGTTAAATCTCCTTGGTATTGCTTATAGCTTCACTTCTTCCTCCACATTGAGTTCTTACTATATGTCGCTAAATGTTACAGGTTTATCAGTAGTTTTCCTCTTCTTTTCAGTGTTAAATGCTTATTAAATTATTTGTAAAGCAATTTGTCCTAATTACAAACTGTTTTAAAAAAATTCTTACTCATCACTTCATTTCTTTGAAATGAATATCTAGGTAATAAGCATCGATACATTCTGAGATTCATGGCCAATAAGTTTAAACTTCTCATTAAAGTGTCAGTAGATTCTTGATTATTAAGTGTACTCTCCCAGAATGCAGCTAAGGCACTGCATTCTGCTTACCAATGATCTTTTAATCATATTCATTTTCATTCTTTAACTATCTGGGGAGCTCCTTTGATATAAAAGTAAATCCCGCTGCATTTTTTACAAAAGCTTGCTGATTAAGAGAACTTTAGCTTTTAAATTGGTCACCTCTAACTACAAATGGAAATTTGTGTTCCCCAAATTAATCAAGATTCATAAACTCTGCTATCTTCCAATTTCTCTATACAGTACACATTTCTAATTTAATTTTACCTCCCCAGTGGCAATTTATAAAATTTACCTATAGAGAGGGGTTTCAAATTATTTCTAACAATTCTGAATGTCTCTGATATGGTTTGGCTGTGTTCCCAAATCTCATCTTGAATTGTAGTTCCCATAATCCCCAGGGGTTGTGGGAGGGACCCAGTGGCAGGTAACTGAATCATGGGAGAAGTTACCTTCATGCTGTTCTCATGATAGTATGTGAGTTCTCAAAAGATCTGATGGTTTTATAATGAACTTTTCCCTCCTTTGCTTCTTCTCCTTGCTGCCACCATGTGAAGCCACATATAGTGGCTTTTCTTCTCCTTGCTGCCACCATTTGAAGAAGGTCTTTGCTTCCCCTTCTGTCTTGATTGTAAATGTCCTGAGGCCTTCCCAGCCATGCTGAACTGTGAGTCAATTTAACTTCTTTCCTTTTTAAATTACCTAGTCTAGGGTATGTCTTTATGAGCAGTGTGAGAACAGAAGAATCCAATCTCCTGTAATATGCAACTCTGCTAATTGCTACCTGGGCTACAATGATGAACTAAAGCAGAGTTCTAGTCACCACTGACATTTTGGGTTTGGAATACTTTTCTATTGAGGCTGTTATGTGTCGTCAATGTTTAAACAATAACATCCTACAATCAAGACTGTCAACAATTGAAGCAATAAAAATATTTCTAGACATTGTCACATGTCCTCTAAAAGGCAAAATTTCCCCTGGTTAGAGCTGCTGTTTGAGATATAGTCCTAGCTTTAAGGAGTTTGCAATTTTGTAGCAGGTATATATATAACTGTAATTTGAAGTAGATTTAGGTAAATCTTCAGCAAGAAGGAAGAAAATCGTACCTCTAATAAGTGACAACAAACAGTAGACTGGATACTTTCATGTGTTAGCCCATTAAGCCTCACAAACACCCTCGGAAGAGCATTATATATATTTTTGCAGATGACAGGCAAAATGGGATTTGCTTTTCCAGAGTGAGATTATCAAGCAGGAAAGATATGGGTTGTGTTTAGGTAAGAGGCAGTAGTTAAATCTGATGAGAGTTTGGGGACTTCATACTAGAGCAATGGAAATTAGAGCTGTGAAGACCAGATTAGGGTCATAATCAGTGGGCCTCCAGTGTGCCAAATTGCCAATGGAACTATGCCATTTTTCTATGAAAATTTTCTATGAAAATTTGTATGGTGTGCTGAAGGAGCACACCATACAAAAGTATAACATTTTTCATGGGCCCAAATCTTTCCTGATGCGATACTTGACTTCCTTTCTAGCCTCATTCCTCACCAGTCCTTGTCAGAACTGATGTCAGTAGAAAGCTGTTGGTAGCTTGCTGACATCTATCAGGTGGCTTTCCTTCTCTGTTCCTTAACTCATTTCCCCAGTCTGCCAACAAAGAATGCTAACGCCCTCTACCTTTTCCTTCCCGTCCCTACTCAGCCTTGCACCTCCAGTAATGAGTAATTCTAACTCATTCTTTTTTTACATTTGTTTTTGAAAACAGAATTCTGAGTTGCTAAGCTGGATATAAAGCTTTACACAGCAGTACTGCCTGCTTACTTCCCAGGTCTTCTTTTTTAATTTTTTATTTCACTTTTATTTTAAGTTCTAGGGTTCATATGTAGGTTTGTTATACAGGTAAAGTTGTGTCATGGGAGTTTGTTGTACAGATTATTTCATCTCCCAGGTATTAAGCTGGCCTTAAAGAATGAGTTAATACCCACCAGGAAAAACAACGAATGGATACTAACTCATTCTTTAAGGTTGAATAAAGGTGCTGTTTCCTCCAAGAACTGGTAATCCATTCTCAGAGTAGGTTGGTGCTTGGCACTTTTGAGATAGACCTTGAGAGGTGGGAGGGCTTGAAAGGGAATAAAGAGGGGAACAGAGAGATGGAGAGTACATCTTCCAAGCAGAGCTCAGACTAGAGCTGTTAAGAAATAGATACATTTAGGGAGGAGGAAGTGGCCCAGTTCAGAGAAGCTTGGGGTGTATAAAGGGAAGTAACGGGTCACAAAGCGGATAATAGAGGCTCATGTTGGTAGAGTAGATGTTAGTATCTGAAATTAAAAGAAAATAATTTTATTTTGTTCCTTATGTGAAGATGCTAAGAATAATAATGGAAGGGATCTGTGGCACTATCTTAGGCAAACAAACAATTATCCGCTAGTGAAAGAAACAAAATATTCTAGTGTTTCAGTCTTTGTCATTCAAAGCAGAGCTAAGTATAATTTTTTAAAATTTTTATTTATCTTTTCACCTTCATATATCTAATGTGATTTGTTCACTTCTAATTCACCTGATAAGGAATTACATATCATCTTGATATTAGTACTGACTGGAAGGAAGTATTTTCTCTCTATAACTAAATCAGATTAAAATTCTTTTTTATATCCACAAACCAAATTATGATTGTATGTCTCAGAAATTCACTTAGAAGCTAATAGAAAAAATGAAATCAAAGCCTTTTGGTAAGTATTTTAAAAGATTTAATTGTTATAATTGAAAATATAGCAACCTTAGTGTTTAATCTATTACATTCT